TCAGTGTCAAAGGCTAAAGACAAGCGATTCCGCTTCAGGGGACACATTCAGAGACCTACAGAAATGACCGGATTGACAGCAATTATCCTAATTGTAGTTTCACAGAGGCGCCAGTTCAAAACCAGTCCTCCCTTCAAATGGCGAGATTCACACCTCCACAGACTAACCCAAGCGTGTGATCACTACCGAAACTTCTAATGCTCCAGTGAGCTGTTTGAGAAAAAAGTTACATTTTTCTATTATTCGTAATTCGACCAACCTTAGCTAATTCAGAATATTAACTTGAATGTAGTAATTAGTAGGCTAATCCACTCGAACAGGGTTGTAATTATGAAGACTCACAAGATGATGAGGAATAGCTACAGTAATTATGACTTTCATAACAGGCCTATCAGTCTAAATGTTCTCAAGCACATTACAATAATTTAGCAAATGGCACGTTTTTCGTACGTAGTTAAGTTAGACCTATAGTCAAGCCACCAACATTTTTTTTTAATATAGCCTAATTTTAGATGGGCCTACTATGAAATGAGTCTTTTTCCCTAGACAAACATGTTTATCCAACTTAGTGTCGAATGAAATATCCGTTAATTAACATTTCAAATAACAGCATAGACAATTTGCAAAGTCTTTGTGTTTGAATGATCAGATGCTGCCCTCTTGTGTCCACAAGTGAAAATGTCCACTTGTTTTTTAATGTCCGTGTTCAGGTTCCTGTTTCTATCAAAAAGAAATGATTTACCAAAACGTTATTGATACAAACAGAAGCACTGTACTGACATTTGCTATAGACTAATTAGATGATTTAAGCACATGGAAGGATCATGTATGAATACAGGGGACACTATGCTAATTTGGCTCAACTGATAAAATCTGAAATGGTTCAGAAATGGTTCAAGCTCTTAAACGATACCATTTTAAACAGCTCTGCACTTACAGATAAAAAGAGATTTAAACAAATACCTTCTCAAACAACTCTCTGAAATACATGCTTTATTGTTATTAGGTCATTCCAGTCACACTTTTAAACACATTTTAGCTTTTAGTCAACCATTCAAGTAATTTTATATGATAACCAAGCCTGTGAGGATGTCATTGGCAACGCTGAAAATAATATATACTATAAACAACATAAACATGTTCGTCAACATCTCAAAGTAGTCTTTTATTAAGAAAATCAATGAGTGACTACCCACTGCTTTAAAACAGACATCTGAGGGGAATGATTCAAGTGCAGGCACACAAACATTTTATTTTACACTTTTTATTTATTATAAAATTTCAAAAGAAATGCATGTGTTAATTACTTTAGTTAATGTATTATGCTATCACCCCTCTACTCTAGTTAATGCTATTTTATGACTGATTATATCACCCCTCTACTTTAATATAGCCTACTGTTATTATATTTCTTAATCTATCACCCCTCTACTTTAGTTAATGTTACTTTATAAACTTATTCCACCTCTATTTTAGTTTATGTATTATATTTTATTATATCACCCTTCTACTTTAGTTAATGCAGCAGTAAACCTACTGTTATTATATTTCTTGTTCTGTTACCCCTCTTCTTTGTAGCCTATGTCAGTGGCGGTCACCACAGGGGCGCAGGGTGGGGACAGGCATGGGTCACTTGTTCTTTTAGTGGGCACATTTTAATATTTATCTTAATGTTCAGGATTATTTCAAGTCATTTTTCACCGTTGTGTATCTCTCTGCAATCTCTAGAGTCACTATCCATATATATGCACATACATACATATATATATAGTGCTGCTTGAAAGTTTGTGAACCCTTTAGAATTTTCTATATTTCTGCATAAATATGACTCAAAACATAAGCAAAATTTCACACAAGTCCTGAAAATAGACAAAGAGAACCCAAACAAACAAATGAGACAAAAATATTTTCTTTTCCATTTATTTATTGAGAAAAATGATCCAGTGTTACATATCTGTGAGTGGCAAAAGTATGTGACTCTTTGCTTTCAGTATCTGGTCTGACCCCCTTTTGCAGCAATAACTGCAAGTAATGTTTCTTGTAACTGCTGATCAGTCCTGCACAATGGCTTGTAGGAATTTTATCCCATTCCTCAGTACAGAACCACTTCAGCTCTGTGATGTAGGTGGGTTTCCTCCGATGAACTGCTTGCTTCAGGTCCTTCCACGAAATTTAAATTGGATTAAGTGTTTTCTTTCTCCAAACATAACGCTGCTCATTTAAACCAAAATGTTGGTCAAATTTTGGTCTCATCCATCCACAAAAACTCCTGGGGATGGTAACAGTGGTCTTGAATTTCCTCCATTTGTACACAATCTGTCTGACCGTGGACCAAACTCTTTAGAGATGGCTTTGAAACCTTTTCTAGCCTGATGAACAACATCAACACTTTTTCTGAGGTCCTCAGAGATCTCACGTGTTTGTGCCATGATACACTTCCACAAACATGACCAAACTTTGATAGATCCCTGTTCTTTAAATAAAACAGGGCACACACTGACACCTGATAGTCATCTCACTGATTAAAAACACCTCTCAACAGATGGACTCTATAATTTCACCTTCAAATTAACAGCTAATCCTAGAGATTCACATACTTTTGCTGCTCACATATATGTAATATTGGATAATATTCCTGAATAAATAAATGACAAAGTATATATTTTTTTGTCTCATTTGTTTGATTGGGTTCTCTTTGTCAACTTTCAGGACTTGCATGAAAATCTAATTATGTTTTGGGTCATATTTATGCAGAAATATAGACCATTCTAAAGGGTTCACAAACTTTCAAGCAGCACTGTATAGAATATATTTTTTTTCTTCTTCGCTGAAACCATAGAGCATTTGATGTTGAGTACTCAGCATGATAGCACAACCTACTCTTTACATCTCAAGACCTCAAGCTGAGGCACATCTGAGTCCTATATGGAACAGACATCCAGGCTCACAGTTAGCCATTTCTCTCGGCTTTGAACAGCTCTTAAATGATGGGACACATCATTCTGCTGATGTGCTATTAGCCGAGAGGCATTTAAAGGCCATGGTTGTGTTCCAACTCCTCTTGTTTCTCCTTGACCAGTCCATTTCACACAGACCGTATGCCATTCATTTTTAGTATATTTACAGTATTTCAAAGTATAAGATGCATTTGTTTTCAATCCACAGGTGGAACCTTCAGTTAGAATATCTGGACAAACACAGACCAGGTAACCTCTGTCCAGATCTGACGTGGTGCAAACTTTAAAATGGAAAAGCATTAAAAAGAAATTTGTTTTGTCCAGACAAAAAAACAAACAAAATAAAATAAAATAAAATAAAATAATTCATAAACCAGTAATCTGTAATAAGCAAACAACACTGACTCCTAGTGGACATAAACATACAATAAACATTTTTAAGGCACCTATATTAGAATAAGGGATAATCATTTTATGGTTGGCAACCAATAAATGGCCTACATTAAAATCTTATCTAGATATTTTATATTTACTATTTAATGTAGGTAAATGAAAACATTAAAACAATTTAAAACATTACTTCATAAAACTCACTTCATCAATATTATAAATAATAAAACATTTTATAAAAATTAATAATTATTAATAAATTGCGCATGCACTAATTCATGTTGACATTTCATCTGAGCAATGGTATTTATAAGAGTAATTTCACCATAAGTGTTTTGAGGTACATTGATCTATTTACTGATATTTGAAAAAGATAATCTGTGTTTATATTACGCTGAATAAGAAAAAGTATATATGTACATTTGTTCACTGTGGACTAAGGGTAAAATAATTTAGATCCGTGGTTCTTAATCCTGGAACAGGATTAATAACCACTGACTTACATCTGAGGAAAGAAATATGTATATTTTTTCTGAAGTGTAAAGTTAAAGTTGTACATTTGGGATAAGATGGCCCCCTCAAAATGGGGCAAAAGGCCCCCAAAATAATAGGTCGCTTGAAAATGTAAAAGATAGTGTTAAAGAGTGAATGAGAGGCATGAACTTTAGATTACCTCCACTTCAGGATGAAAAGTTTTATGGTGGAGTGTGTGTTTGTGTGCCTACAGTATTTTGGGGACAGATTTTGTAAAAAAAAATAAATAAATTGGGACATCCTCATTTGTAAAAATGTTATATAAAAATAAAGAAAAAATATCTAAAACTACAGAAAATTTTCCAGGAGGTTCAGGGTTATAGTATTTATAATTAGCTCAATATAAAAACAGAAGTCATCTATGGAATGTGAGTCTGAAATATTCTACTCAGTTTTAGGTTATGACTTTTAAGTTTACAGTATTGTTTCTTAGGCAATGAATTAAAAAAATTTTTTTTTTACATGTTTACACACACACACACACACTCTCTCTCTCTCATAATCGTCTGTTGGGTGATGCAGAATGATCCTCTACATGCTAAACTTGTATGTAAATGTGTTAGTTTAACAGTATATGGACATTGTTCTTAAGTGGGGCTTCTTCCCCCATGTTGCCCTATATATTATAGTACTAATATTTAAAATTCCATTTTAATATTTAATTTGACTTTACATTCAATTAATTTTGTTATGGGCTTTTGTCATTTTTACTTTTCTTTATATTTCTTTTTAGCCTTAATTTCCATTTCCCTTTTTTTATTTTAGTTTCCTAGGCAACATTTTTAAAGTCTCTTAGGTAATATATTTTATTTCAATTACCCAAACAGAATTTTTAATATTTTTAGTTGACACCGTATGAACAATAATATAAATTTTGAGATCTGCTGTTAAAGTGCTATTAAATTAGTTTATTTTTATTGTTTTTATTAACCTCTAATGAGTGGTAGATAACAGGAAGATAAACTAAATGTAGAAATAGGGGAAAAGAACATGAACAATTAAATATCTATTAACCATTGAAAAACGTAATTATTTTGTCTAATTTAAATGTATTTGTAAATTCAACATTTAAGAAACTAAGACATACTGATGAAGTACTGACCAAAATAAGAACAACAATTTTAGTTTAGCATGTTTATTACAATACATACATTTCACATTTGACCTTCCGACCCCAGGTGACCCTGCCCTCACCCTGGTGTAACAGGGTTGATGTTGTCCAGTCCTTGGCTGACCCTCAGTTTCCTGTTTTCCAGTAGCACTTTCCCCCCCCCCATTCCATCCAATCAGGGTGCAAAGGAAAATGTGTGGTAATAATTTAGGAATACAACATATCTGATAGACTAGTAATCACTGCAACTTTAATAAAACTTTAACTTCATTACTTAGCAACTGTACATAGGAATGAACTCTGGTTTTTAACACAAGTTGCCACAGCAACTTGTTCATTTTTTCCTTTTTCTTTTTTTAAAGTACAGTTTTTTTTTTTAACAAAACAAGGGTACAGAAAAGAAAAAAAAAAGTAACCTGGAAAGATTAAGAGAAAGAAAAAGGGGATTCTGGATAACAACCAGTCTTCATCTCCTGCTAAGGAAGGTGAGGGAGGGGGACAACATGAGTTGAGCTGCAGGAATGATTCTCTTTCTCTCCTTTCCGTTCTGGCTCACATTCACTCCATCACGTAAGCAGGCACTAGTGTTGACCATGGGCATATCGCTAGGCCATTAGGGGCAGATAGGAGACCACTGAACCATTGTGGACAAACATGATGTAAACCCCCTCAAAAGGCATGGGGTGAGGGAATGAAACCATTATAGTGCAACCAGAGAAAGAAATAGATAAACTAACCAAATAACCATGTAGCATTACTACCATTTTTCATATGTAGAGAGAGAAAAATGAACCGGTGGATACGTGTGCTCAGTTGTGAGAAGACAAAGAGTGTGTACGTCATCGTCCTCATTAAATGTCCCGGTCGACTAGTCCACCTTTTCCATGCAGGTCTGGTACATGCTCAAGGCAATGGTTCACCGATCGTATATCTGAAGAGCATTTTTTTGTTTGTTTTGTTTTTTTATCATGTCACTTAAAAATCTGCAGTCAAGAGTTCAACATATGGTGGCAATGAGGGCACTTGAGATCCCAGTCTGCCTTGGTGTTGATTAGTTTGGACATGGTTTTGATAGACATGGCTTCATCTACAAAATATATTTACAACATGGAAATAACATCTACAAATAATCTACATGTACAGGGATGGGGCGAGGGCAGCTCCTCCAAAAACCTCTCTGCCCCCCCTCTCTCCGCCCCCCCTCAGTCCAAGCAAGACCTCGCTGCAGCTTGTTTAATGTAAGACTGGGCCCAGAGCAGAACGCAACAGAACTTCAGTTCTCCAGGGTTCCGCGCGCATGAAATGGGTTTTGCCCACTCATTCACCTACACTTCTCTCCTCCTGTTTCAAGACCACATTGCAAACCAAGAGTTCCTCAAACCATGAAGGAATTTTGATTCTTCAACTTTTCAAGTTCTTTAATTTGTTGTCTCAAAAACAGTATCCTGTCGACAAAGAGAAAGGGAGAGCCAAGTTAGTAAATTTGCATTATAATGGGTGTCACAAGCTTTGGTATATGAGAAAGTGAAACGCGCTGACCTCTGTTCCCGCAATGTGGCCTGGATCTCGCACACTCGCACCAGTGAGCGAAGGTTCTTCAGCTCTGTGCAGTTCTCTGACATGTAGATGCTGCCCATGGTGTGAGCCTCCTCACGTAACCGCGAGGCCTGGACGGGAGAGCAGTATGTAAATTGTTAGCCATGCAGCAAAACATCTGTATTTCGGTAGCATGCAGATGAATGCCAATGATGTGTGTGCAGCAGCCCAATACTTAAAGGGATAGTTCAGCCAAAAATGAAAATTCAGTCATTAATTACTCACCCTCATGTCATTCCAAACCAATAAGACCTTTGTTCATCTTCAGAACACAAATTAAGATATTTTTGATGAAATCTGAGAGCTTTCTGACCCTGCATAGACAGCAACGCAACTGACAATTTCAAGGCCCAGAAAGGTAATAAGGACATCGTTCAAATAGTCCATGTGACATCAGTGGTTCAACCGGTATGTTATGAAGCTACGAGAATACTGTTTGTGTGCAAAGAAAACAAAAATCACGACTTTATTCAACAATTTCTTCTCTTCCTATTTTAACTACTGTTTTAACGATGTTCTTACTACCTTTCTGGGCCTTGAACTTGTCAGTTGCGTTGCTGTCTATGCAGGGTCAGAAAGCTCTCGGATTTCCTCACATTTATCTTGATTTGTGTTCCAAAGATGAACGAAGGTCTTTCAGGTTTGGAACGACATGAGGGTGAGTAGTGTGTTTTTGTCAACTGAGGCTGTACATGGTGCTAACCTGTTCCTGAAATGTCCTCCGAGACCCTGTTTACACCTGTTAAGACCCCTCGAGTGATCAAATGGTCAGTATTAAGAGAACTAGAAACTCTGTGCTTTTTGTTTTCCAGTTTCTTTATTTGCTTTCTTTTTCACTTTTTGAGCTGTTAACAGTAAAAATCGGTAAGATTTTTTAAAAATGTTTTTGAAGTCTCTTATAGCCATCAAGTTAGCATTTATCGGCTTTAAAATACAGTAAAAACAGCAATATTGTAAAATATTACTACAATTTAAAATAACTTTTCTTATATTTTTATATTTTCACATGTAATTTTATTTTATTAAATATATTTGTAATGTATTAAAATATAATTTACTCCTGTGATGGCAAAGCTGACTTTTCAGCAGGCATTACTTCTTCAGCATCACATGATCCTTCAGGAATCATTCTAATATGCTGATTTGCTGCTCAAGAAATACTTAGGGCCCAAGCCCTGAATGGCCTGTAGTTCCTATTGTTTACGTTTTCTTTATTATTATTATTCCTCTCGAATAGTCTATGTCAGCCCTATGAAGGGAACACAGGAAAATTATGAAATTTGGCACACTTGCAGAGATGGTCATGAATAGTGATCTGACCAACTTTGGGCTCTCTAGGACCAAGTCTATAGCGCCACCACCAGTTCAAAAATTCAAAGCATTATAACTCTTGAACCGTTTTGATTACTTTATTATCCAGATCAGCACTAGAAATAAATGTTTTTTATTCATGCTGTGTTCACTGTCATTTGAACTTCTGTTCATTCTCATCTATAATTCTGAACCGGCTGTTTTTCATGTTCATTCAGTTTCTGCTGTTTTTGCCCCTTCAGGGTATCGTTGCTTGCAGCTAAATTTTCTTCTTATCGATATTGAAAAGAGTTGTGCTGCTTAATATTTTGTCAAAACTTTTTTTTTTGTCAGGATTTTGATGAACAGAAAGGTAAAGAAAACAGCAATTATTTGAAATAGAAATCAATTGTCTCTGTGACTTTTGGTCAAATTTATTGCATACTTGCTGAATAAAGGTATGAAATATTCACAAAAAAAACATTCATGCTAACCTGTTTCTCCACGTGCTCTGCGGGCCACCCTTGCACATGTTTGATGAGGTTCTCATTGAAGTGTGCGGCCAGTGTGGGTGTAAAGGAACATGTTGCTCTGCCTGGAGCTGTGCCGGCAGGTACTGAACCAGGGGTCATTGCTCCGCTGACTACACCTGGTCCTTGACCACCACCACCACCATTATTAGTGCTGCTGTTACTGCCCATGTGGTTTGGACCTGGAGACGGACTTCTCTGACTGCTGCAAATCACAAACAGTGGATGGGTCAATGTCCTTCTGATTTAAGAAGCGACTACTTTTTATGCACAACTTCTCTGTCAGCATCAGGTTTTTACAAATACATTAATTTAATGTGATCCTAAAACATCAAAATCAGCAATATCACAAACAGCCAGAAGATGGCAGTCAAACACCACAAAACAAGCCACTTTAAACTACAAATATGGTTGCTGAAGTAAGCAGTGGGCAGTTCAGTACCCACAAGCCTTTATTAAATTTTCATTTTGCAGTTTTTAATTTATAAAGTTTTGATTAATCAGTTTAGTAATTTCCAAATTAAGTCACCTCTGTCTCTGCAGCGTCCGTGGAGAGTTGCCATTGTCGTGATGTTTGTCTGTGGAAAGGGACTGCTGGGACGACGGTGGAGGGAGAGAACTGGACTTAACTGTCAAAGCGTTCATCTGAGAAAGATAGTGAGAAAAGTGTTACAAAATCATACTTTCGTTTGTGACATCGGTCATCTCATTTGACAGCAGTATACCTTGGTCTGTGAGGAGACTGGCGTGGTGCTGAGGGGCGGTTTGAGGGAGGCTGTGTTGGTCTGTGGCGTGCTGATTCTAGGAGACACGTATGACCGAGGAGAGGAAGCGTCTGATGTCAGAGACATCGGAGACTGGCTGGACTGCTGGGCTACTCCACAGGACAAAGAGAGAGAGGAAAAAGAGATAAGAGGGTGAAGAGATGCCTAAACTAAAAACAACAGGCATGTACTTGGTTAACAAACACGGTTCTGGCTCTGATTCAAATCTAGTTTGTGTTATAACACAAACTATAACAAAATTCAAAACATTGTTAAAGTAAAGCTGAAATAAAATCTAAATATTAGAATATTAAAATATGAACTTAAAATTAAAATGAAAGCTGAAGCAGTAAAATACTAAAATTTCTATTTATTAACAATAATAGCACAAATGTACAAAAAAATAAAACCCAGAAAACCCCCATCAACCTGAAATTAAAACTGGGAAAAAAAAAAAAACACACACACACACACATAAACTAAATAAATACAAATAGTATAAAAATAATACCAACATAACATTGAGGATGAGAGTTTAAGTAATCAAATGTTCACTAATACTACATATAGGAACCTAGAACTCAATGCGCAAACTAACTTTTCTTTGCAACTTTACACACACACACACACACACACATAAACTAAATAAATACAAATAGTATAAAAATAATACCAACATAACATTGAGGATGAGAGTTTAAGTAATCAAATGTTCACTAATACTACATATAGGAACCTAGAACTCAATGCGCAAACTAACTTTTCTTTGCAACTTTAGTTAAACAACTAAATATACATTCCTATCATTGTTCAGCACTGTGGATAGGTGACATTGATGAGATAGTGTGTGCTTTTAGGCACGTCATTGGAAGAACCAAAAATACTTTATTTTTAATGCCCCACTCTCTGAGGCAATTAACACACTTTGCCCTATTGTTTACCTAAATATAAACATGGGAAACAAAAATTAAGTTTTTTTTTGTGATGCATTAGTCTACTTTTCAAATTGGTTTCTATGTAAGCTCTGGGTGATTTTTTTTTTTTTTAAATCTTGATGTTCTAGCAATGAAAATATTTAACTTAAAATCATTACAGAGATGTAGTGTGAACTAGATTGATTTTCAAAAATAAAGCACTAAAATTAGTACCTGACTAAATGAGTATTGACTACAAAATTACTCAATGCCCACATTATTCAGTTATGTTGATTATTTTTTTTAACACTTTATAGTTATAAAATATAAAAAATATAAAAAAATACCAACTCCCTTAAAGTGTAGAAACACTATGGACACACTGAGGCCATTAACAGGCTAAGAAGCAGTCTGACCTACTGTTTTCCTAAACATAAACATGGGGGGAAATGTTAAAGCCTTTATATAAGCAACAATTTTTTTTTTTTGCATCAGTAAGAAAAGTTGTTGATTATTTTTTAACAATACATTTCTGCTATACAAGACTAGAGAAACACCAACTTCCTGATCAAAGCACAGAGATACGGTCTCCTAGTTTATAAAACAATTTTATCCATAGACTGCATTTGGAATATCTGAAAACTAATGGTAGAATACGTCTGATCCCATTTCATTTGTAATTTGGACAGAGAAACTATCACAACTAATGAGGTTAGAGTCCACTTTAATGTCCAGGTACAAATCAATGCAGATTTTTTTTTTTTTTTTTTTGCAATTTGGTGACTGAAAAGGGGTTGGAGTTTCCAATTTTACTCTGCATTTAACTTTAAAATGTAAAATTTTTTCTTAGATCTTGGGCTGAGATCCACCATAGTCTCACAAAAATCATGTGGGAAACACTGGCTTGATATTCAAAAGTAAAAAAAAAAAAAAAAAATGCTAACACGCACAGAACCAAATTGAGTTCTCTTTCAAGGATTACTGCGCTTGAAATGTCAAATACACACAGACATTTGTCAAAGTATTTACATAAAATCTATTAGTTATGATATATCATTATTATGAACATGCAATTCAACATGTAATTTAGACATAGCCAAATAACAGATGCTGCATGACAAATCCATACATAAAGCTACTTGTGTTAAAACCAGAAATCATTTGTGAGGCCCACATGGCTCACCATTATCTGCTCAGACAGCAGCAGCCAAGCCTGTGTGTGCGATCCTTGCTAAGCTACCAACTCCATCTGCTAACTCAAGGAAGCTGACTCAGAACCACACAGTGGACATGAGTTGGCAACACAAGCAACACAATCTCACGTCAAAAACAAATCAAACCCATGAGCTCAAATTATGAAGTTCAAGATCAGGTCACAAAACAGAGCCGACCTTAAAACCACATGTGTCAAAGACATTTAATTTGGATGGCACTGTAGCACAAATAAAAAACACAGCAGCTTTGAGAGTAAGAGGTAGTATGAGAGAGACCGCAGAGTGTGTGTATGTACCTTGGCTGGACAGTTGAGTAGCCTGGGAGAGCAGAGTTGTGATGTTGAAGGCAGATGGACCAGCAGTCAGGATCTTATGGAGCATGGACTGCAGCGAAGCCTGAGTTACTGCAGCCGTGAGAACTACAAAGACACAGAACACACAGAATGAAGCAAGAAAGCAAGAACAAAAGGTGAAGACAAGCAGTAGTCAAAAAGTAAACAAAAACCTAACACTGAAATAAATCAGATTGATAAAATGGGTCTGTGGGAAACCACACTGGTTTACTAAATGCTTAGCTCACATTAGGTGCATTAGTGAGCAGTTAGAGAATCTGCAAGTCTCTGGAAAGTTGAGTCCAAGTTCATCCCCTTTAAAGTTAAAGCCATGTTCAAACAGATGACTCTGTGTGAGCGTTCCACCAAAATACTTGGAAATGACTAGCAACATGGGCACTATCTTCTCTAATACATTAGAAGCTGTTGCCGCCATCAAATTGATAAAGGTTAGAGAAAAACGTACAGCGCCATGGTATAACAGTAATACCCACATTCTCAAGAAAAAAACTCGTAGTCTTGAGCGCAAATGGAGAAAAACTAACTTGGAAGTTTTTAGAATTGCGTGGAAAAACAGTATGTCCAGCTATAGGCAGGCTCTAAAAGCTGCCAGGGACGAGCATATCTTTTACATTTTAATCTGGACTACAACATGCCCTAGATATTGTTTTAAAGTCTTTTGATTTTTTATTGTTCGGTCACACGTTACATTAGGGGTTCATTAGTTAACATTAGTTAACAAACTGCCAATGAAAAATTCTTCTGAACATTCATTAATCTTAGGTATTCCAATATTTAATAACAGGATGTTAAAATCGAGAGTTGCAGCTGTGTTATTTAATGAGCTAACATGAACTAAGACTTGTGTTTTTTTAAACAAAGATTAATAACTTCAGTAGCAAATGCTATTGCTCATTGTGAATGTTAATGCAAGGTTAACTAATGAGGTCTTATTGTAAAGTGATACCTATTGGTCTTTATAGTTCTTTTGCACTTTAATCTGTGTAAAACTTTTAACTTTGTACATTTTTCTGTATTGCTTTATTGCATTTAAATGTTCAGTTATTTTTGTTATAAGAAAAAAGTTATTAAACCTGTTATACTGTATTATGACAGGACTTTTTAAAAAAAACTTAATTTCAATATCGTGATAATACCGTATACCGTAATAAAAGCATTAGCAATTAATCGCAACATGAAAATTTGATACCGGCATATCCCTAGTTACATCCCATTAGAATTGTGTCTGATTGGGGCTGAAATTAGTCTCAGAAGACAGGATACAGGTTCAACTCATTTGAAATACTTATGCTTAATGTTACACTGTCAAGATATGCAAAATCGTACATTTCTGCCATATGTACATTAACTGACAGTCACCACTGATAAGCTACCACTAAATATTGTAGAGACTTAATTTGCTGTAAAGTTGCTTTGCAACGATTTGTATCGTGAAAAGCGCTATACAAATAAACTTGAATTGAATTTAATTAATTAAACAGGACTTTTTTAAAGACCAGTAAGTCGACTACTTGTTCAGATAAATGTACAGACTAGCTAGCACATCCCAATTACCTTTCAAAATACTGCATCTAAATAACAGATTATTCTTCTACACACTGTTTATTTAAGATTACTTGGAAAAATCTGAAGCAATATTTACTTAAGAAATACTTTATAGCTACAAGCTTTTTTAGACATCTATACTTCAAAGTAGTGTTGGGCGATATGGTCATTTTTCAAATCGTCAGATCGCCAGCCCGTGAGATCGCCGATACACGATATTATCGTGCGTGGGTGAGTGGGGGCAAGAGAGAGAAACTCTGTACTTGTCATAGGTTATTTCATAACTACGTGGTGTTTTAAACCGCGCGGGCGCGCGCGAGAGAGAGCCCATGAAAGCACCAATAATCAAAATAATTTACTATCAAACATACTGATAAACTAAGAAGTTAAACATAAAAATATTTAAAACAGCTAGTTCATATATATTCGGATACAACAGTCATACATGGCTATTAGAACCACGCGTCCTGTGACAAGTTTGCCGCATCTGCGCACGGACGTTATCAGTCTTAAAGGTCTGCAAAATCAGTCAACTGTGAAAATCAGAAGTAGATTTATTTTAAAGACCAACAGTTTAACACTAAATATTGGACATAAACGAACACGTTAAATATAAAAGTATTTAAAACGGGTAAGTTCATATATTTGGAGTAAAGTTAAATTAAACGGACGTCAGTCATACAGAGCTCCGGACCACGCGCCCTATGACGAGCCCGACGCACCGCCACAGAAACAAGGATGAGATGCGTTATAACATAATTGTGGCATTAAACTCCGTTAGTGAGGGCTTGGTTAAAATATAGGCCGTTCAGATTACGTAAGTGCAATGCCTTATATCAGCAGACGATGTACGAATTATAATAGGCCGCCTAATAATAATAATAATAATTTAATACATTTACAGGAGATAAGCCTAATATCGTCTTGACTATCGACAAAGAGATCTGCTATTGTCGATATTTTTGACTATCGTCGATACACGATACTATCGTCTATCGGCACAACCCTAATTCAAAGTTCTTTTTTGGATGTTTTTGAGAAGTCTTATATACTCACAAAGACTGCATTTTTTAGATCAAAATATAGTAAAAACTAAAAAGTAATATTGTGAAATATTACTATAATTCAAAAGAACTTCTCTATTTGTAATGTAAAATTAAACCTCTATTTAAAATGTAATTTATTCCTGTAATGGAAAAGCTGAATTTTCAGCAGCTATTACAGGGCTCTACAGTGCGACCATTTCAGTTGCATTTGCGACTGAAAACTACTGCGTGCGACTATGACATTTTTTTTAGGAGCACCAGTGCGACTGACCCGATCATCATCATACTTGTGATTGCGCTCAGGGGAGCTTCAAAGGTTTCTACGTGTTTTTGCAGCGTTGAGTAATGTATCACAGACATATCTCATGAATCTTTTTATAAGCAAAGTGTAGACAGGGTGTAAATAAGAGATTCATTGTGCAGTGTAGAGAGCTTTGTTGATTATAAATGTGAGATCGAGATGAACTAAGATGAGTGACCGCTTATAATGATTTTTAAGGGAGTTTGTAAATGTGATACTGATTTCATACAATACAATTCAATAAACAAGAAGTTAATATTAAGTGACTTACATTGTCTGACTATAACACTATTGTCTGATTTTGCTCTATTTCGTCGTCGAAAATAGTTTAAAACAAAGACACAGCGGAGCCGCTGCGCATCTCCATTCAAACACAGCGGTGTCTCGTTTATGAATGAACGGGCGTTTTTAAAGGGGTCATATGATGCTGCTAAAAATAACATTATTTTGTGTATTTGGTGTAATGAAATGTGTTTATGCGATTTAAGGTTCAAAAAACATTTTCCACATACTGTACATTATTGTTTTATTATAATTTAATACTATACATTATTATAGGCGTGTTAGAACGAGCCGTTTTAGGTAGGCGTGGCTGACTCTTAACTTTTATAAAGAATATCTCTTTGGATTTGAGACTTTAGTCTTTGCAACTTTACAGATCTTCTTTATGCACCAAGAGCTTGTAACACTCCAAAGAGAAAGGAAAAATTGAAATCGCATCATATGACCCCTTTAAAAGAATCTAGCGAGTCAGTGATTCATGATTACCCATTCATAAAGTCAGTCACTTGATTCATTCCTGAATGAATCAGCTGTTCGAACGAATCAATTGAATGAATGATTCAGTGATAAAAATCAGTGACTTACTGCCACCTGCTGGCAGTTTGTTTCATTTTTAAAGTATCTTTTCAGTTATTTAAATCATTTAATATTTCTACATACAAAATTTTATATTTAAAACATTAATATCATCATGAATTTATGGATTTAATTGCACTCATTCCACTTCTGAGCCTCATTAAATGTCTGAAAGTACACCAAGCCTCTTTTGTGTTCTTCTGTGCCACCTCTACAAATTAATTTTGTTAATACTGATTTCATTTGATTGGTAACATTCCTTATTCTACTTGTTCTTATTCTGTCGTTTTAATTCATTTTTAAAAAGCTTATAAAATATAATTTTTTTAAGAATTTGACAAAAGATGACATACTTTTAATAAAGTTAAAGGAGTCAAATATCACCTCGTAATGGGAAGGCTACTTTTTGATAACATTTTGGATTATTGATTAGAAGGTGCTCCTAAAATTTTGAACGTGCTCCTACATTTTTTAAGTTAGGAGCACAAGTGCTCCTAAAAATAAAAGTGAGCGTAGAGCCCTGTATTACTCCATTACTCCAGTCTTCAATGTCACACAATTCTTCAGAAATCATTCTAATATGCTGATTTGGTGCTCAAGAAACAAACCCAAACACCTCTGAGCAAAGCATTTTACCACAGCTTGAACCAGAGGAAATGTTCCCAGCAACTAGTTAAAATCCAATATTCATGCATTTGAAAAATGATGCAGCAGCCCTGCCACTGGATCATGCCAACCTTTGCATTTCAGTGTTTATACACATTTGTCATATGCAGTGGTGCAAAACCAGACTGGCCAAACTCCATGTAATTGTGCATCATAATTTGCAAATACGGCCAATGATGGAAAGCGAGAAGCAATGACACGCTCACGAATGGCAATTCACACACAGGCCATGTTCAGGAAGCAGCAAAGCTATGATTCATCCCTGAGATGTGAAGTTAAGAGAGGAAAAGCTGACGCAAGCCCAGCATGCACAAGTATATAACAAGCAATTACATACCCGCTTGAGTGGTACAAGAAACAACTAGAATAAAGCTGCAAAATGTATGCTTGCTAACCACACTGAAGTTACAGAGGTGTAGTAAATTTCAAAGGTGGTAACCACCATCACCGCAGTATTGTAAGCAAGGTTTTAACATTTGGTTCCTCAAGTGGGACTATCCCTGTAATGTTTTGGATTGCTAACAGCTTACTTTACTTCAGCGGTTCATGATCATCTCCATTCGCCGAGATTCAAAACACTTACCTTCATTGATCTTGGCCATGTCTACACTGGCGTTGTTAAGCTGCAGGGCCGTTTGCAGAGCGGGGAGGAGCTGACGTAAGAGGGAGGGGTCTTGGAGAAGAGTGGGCGGAGCCGGCGACTGCATCACTGGAGAAACTGGGACTGTAGAGCCAGAGGCACCACTGGCTGAGTTGGCCACGCTTAAGCCAGACACAGCAGCAGAGGAAGAGGATGGTGTGAGTGAGGAAGGCTTTTCTGTGGCAATTGAAGACTCTATTTATAGGGGGGGGGAAGGGGGAATGAAAGAAAAATTACAGAGGTTAATGATGTTTAGTGACATTATTGGAGAAAAGCCCTCCAAACTTTCAAATGAAAGCTCGTTCACAACAAGATTGATAACTATAACGACAACTATATTAGCACCCACTGCGTACCAGCCTTTACACAGTACTGATAGAACAGAGTACCTGGTCGATTCGGTACCCGCTGATAGGCATCTGCATTCAAATGCTCTAATATTTGTGCGAGCGTTCTATGAAGAGCGTAAAACGTTTTTATTTACAAAGTGTTTTTGCAGAGTAGAGCATTGTGACCAATTAAAGACAGCGTGAACACAATGGCCAATCAGGTGTTTAAGTCAGAATCCACTTAACAGAATTTTTTCCAGTGTGTGCTTTGCAAATTGTTTCGCTATAACGAACAAATTATTAGGGCTGTCTCTAACGATTATTTTGGTAATCGGTCAATTATTCTGATGATTAATTGAGTAATCAAATAATTTTTTGTGGTAATAAAAATAGACCTAAGCGAACTTTAAAATGACTTAAAATACACATAATAGCAATGAGGCAATAATAATTGGTTCAAATAAAATAAAAGCAAGTAATTCTACATTTTTTAAGTTAGGAGCACAAGTGCTCCTAAAAATAAAAGTGAGCGTAGAGCCCTGTATTACTCCATTACTCCAGTCTTCAATGTCACACAATTCTTCAGAAATCATTCTAATATGCTGATTTGGTGCTCAAGAAACAAACCCAAACACCTCTGAGCAAAGCATTTTACCACAGCTTGAACCAGAGGAAATGTTCCCAGCAACTAGTTAAAATCCAATATTCATGCATTTGAAAAATGATGCAGCAGCCCTGCCACTGGATCATGCCAACCTTTGCATTTCAGTGTTTATACACATTTGTCATATGCAGTGGTGCAAAACCAGACTGGCCAAACTCCATGTAATTGTGCATCATAATTTGCAAATACGGCCAATGATGGAAAGCGAGAAGCAATGACACGCTCACGAATGGCAATTCACACACAGGCCATGTTCAGGAAGCAGCAAAGCTATGATTCATCCCTGAGATGTGAAGTTAAGAGAGGAAAAGCTGACGCAAGCCCAGCATGCACAAGTATATAACAAGCAATTACATACCCGCTTGAGTGGTACAAGAAACAACTAGAATAAAGCTGCAAAATGTATGCTTGCTAACCACACTGAAGTTACAGAGGTGTAGTAAATTTCAAAGGTGGTAACCACCATCACCGCAGTATTGTAAGCAAGGTTTTAACATTTGGTTCCTCAAGTGGGACTATCCCTGTAATGTTTTGGATTGCTAACAGCTTACTTTACTTCAGCGGTTCATGATCATCTCCATTCGCCGAGATTCAGTACACTTACCTTCATTGATCTTGGCCATGTCTACACTGGCGTTGTTAAGCTGCAGGGCCGTTTGCAGAGCGGGGAGGAGCTGACGTAAGAGGGAGGGGTCTTGGAGAAGAGTGGGCGGAGCCGGCGACTGCATCACTGGAGAAACTGGGACTGTAGAGCCAGAGGCACCACTGGCTGAGTTGGCCACGCTTAAGCCAGACACAGCAGCAGAGGAAGAGGATGGTGTGAGTGAGGAAGGCTTTTCTGTGGCAATTGAAGACTCTATTTATAGGGGGGGGGAAGGGGGAATGAAAGAAAAATTACAGAGGTTAATGATGTTTAGTGACATTATTGGAGAAAAGCCCTCCAAACTTTCAAATGAAAGCTCGTTCACAACAAGATTGATAACTATAACGACAACTATATTAGCACCCACTGCGTACCAGCCTTTACACAGTACTGATAGAACAGAGTACCTGGTCGATTCGGTACCCGCTGATAGGCATCTGCATTCAAATGCTCTAATATTTGTGCGAGCGTTCTATGAAGAGCGTAAAACGTTTTTATTTACAAAGTGTTTTTGCAGAGTAGAGCATTGTGACCAATTAAAGACAGCGTGAACACAATGGCCAATCAGGTGTTTAAGTCAGAATCCACTTAACAGAATTTTTTCCAGTGTGTGCTTTGCAAATTGTTTCGCTATAACGAACAAATTATTAGGGCTGTCTCTAACGATTATTTTGGTAATCGGTCAATTATTCTGATGATTAATTGAGTAATCAAATAATTTTTTGTGGTAATAAAAATAGACCTAAGCGAACTTTAAAATGACTTAAAATACACATAATAGCAATGAGGCAATAATAATTGGTTCAAATAAAATAAAAGCAAGTAATTATATGGTTTTATTGAACAAAACAGTTAAAATACATAATGTAATAAAACAATATAATTATCACTTATGTACATTATGTATTATATCAAGTACCTGCAGAGGATACACAACTGTTCATTGATTACAAAGGGAGCACTTTTTGCTCACTTTCTATAACCCATTCATAATTTGCATAACAGCTTAATTTTTTCATACTGCAAAGCTTTGATGACCTTATTAAAAGGTGGACAGAAACTGGTACCAAGAACCGTGGAACTTTAGTGATATTGCTACCAACTACTGAAATTTTGGTTCCATAACACTAGTGTCTACTAGGGCTGCAACTAACAATTATTTTGATAATCGATTAGTTGGCGATTGTTTTTCCAATTAATCGATTAATCTGATTTTTAAAAAGCCTTTTTAAATTGACAAAATGCACTATTCCACATCCTGCCCATTGCTGTCCTTTAAATAAACGTGCCAACTGAATGCTATGAAAACATACTGTATGGTGAATATATCTCTATGCTATACATTGTGTAAAAGAGTTATAAAGCACAGTTCAAATGGGCAGTTTAAACAGACAAATGGACAAAAAATTGAATTTTTAATTCCCCATATTAAAAATAGAAATAATAATGATGAAGATAGTAAAGAAAAACACAAACTCAGTGTTAACAGATAAGAGGAATGTTCTGCAGGAACACACACATTCACTCTGAACACAGTAACCAGTTACTGTCATTTCTTTATTCTGTAAATGTAAGAAACGTCTTACATTTATATTCAATCACACTCAGTTATCCCTTTACAGTTACTAACATAAAATACTTAAAACTTACATGTTGACTTTTAAACCTAAATTTAACGTCCAATAACAGATATATCAGCAAAATTAATATTGCGCTGAATATTAATTTTCTCCCTCTTTACTGCGCTTCATCTGTTTGACACACATGCGCGTGCCGGAGCTCGTTCAGTGAAGTCTGAAGTTTAATGCAGACTGTCAGGACGAGCCTTCATGCAAAATAAAAAACATTCAGGTGAATGTAACATTTACAGAAAAGGATATTACCGTAAAATGCAGTTTATGTGCTGAGGAAGCATATCTCACACATTAAACAGCACACGCATCTGTCAAAGAGTCTGACAGGACGAGCCGTGATAAACATTACACTAATGCATTAGCTTGAAGTTTAAAATTAAGCATTCTCATGTTTTGGGCAGCTTGGATCACGCATCTTTCCCGCAGCAGCTCACTTGGATTCATCCGCTATTTTTAGATGAATTTCGTCCATAGAAATGCATTATTCACTGCTGTACTTTGACGTGACTGGCGGAAGTTTTCCGTGCGCGGTGGGCAGATGCAACTAATCGATAATGACATTCGTTGTTGATTATTTTCATTATCGATTAATAGCGATTTTATCGATTAGTTGTTGCAGCCCTAGTGTCTACACCAGGGCTGCCCAAACTCAGTCCTGGAGGGCCGGTGTCCTGCTGAGTTTAGCTCCAACTTGCCTCAACACACCTGCCGGGAAGTTTCTAGTATGCCTAGTAAGACCTTGATTAGCTGCTTCAGGTGTTTAATTAGGGTTGGAGCTAAACT